AGCATAGCAGTGGCATCCAGGAGACCGAGGTCTAGCTGTGGTTCCCTCTGGGTCCTCCAAGCCTGACCAGCAGTGTGCCTCATGCATGGGGTAGAGAGGGATGGGGGGTGGATTCGGAGGGGTCCATCCTAGCTCCTGAGGAGCATCCTGGCCGTACTCTGTGCCGAACACATCTCTCTGTTCTTCTGGCGGTCCGTCCATGGTATACAGTCGGTATTCTTCACTAACATCATCATTCAGTGGCACCAGTCCTTCTTCAGTCTTCAAATTCCTGGGCCAGCTTTCACATGTGTATGAGGCGATTAACAATACCAGGACTTGTGTCAGGCACACCTTAGTTCCCAAAGTGACATGTTCATTTAACACTTAAAGAGCCCTCTTGCAGTGGATTTATCCAGTGCCATACATTGTTTAATTTCTTGACCGTTGCTTCCATGCACGTTGATTGTGGATCCAGCTGAAATGAAATCCTTGACAACTTCAATGTTTTCTTCATTTATCATGACGTTTATCAGTCCAGTTATGAGGATTTTTGTTTTCTTCATGGTGAGGTGTAATCCATGCTGAAGGCTGCAGTCTTTGATATTCATCAGTAAATGCTTTGAGTCTTCTTCATTTTCAGCAGTCAAGGTTGTGTCATCTGCATATTGCAGGTTGTTAATGAGTCTTCCTCCAATCCCAATACTGCTTTCCTCTTCATACAGATGAAATGTAGTGAAATGATACAATCCTCAAGCACTTGTTTCCATGGTTCATGTTTTAAACCATGCTGTATCCCCTGTTCCGTTCTAACAGCTGCCTCTCAGTCTATGTACAGGTTCCTCATTAGCACCATTAAGTGTTCTGGAATTCCAGTTCTTTGCAAGGTCACCCATAATTTGTCGTGGTCCACACAGATGCATAACTTTGCATAGTCAGTAAAACACAGGTAAACATCTTTCTGGCGTTCTCTGCTTTCAGCCAGTATCCATCAGTAATACTGTCCCTAGTTCCACATCCTCTTCTGAATCTGGTTTGAATTTCTGGCAGTTTCCTGTTGCTGTACTGTTGTCATTTTTTGATTATCTTCAAAATTTTACTTGCATGTGATATTAATGATATTGTTCGATAATTTCCACATTCTGTTGGATCGTCGTCTTTCTTTGGAATGGGCACAAATATAGATCTCTTCCGGTTCGTTGGCCATGTGTCTGCCTCGCAGATTTCTAGGCATAGATGAGTGAGCACTTCCAGCATTGCATCCGTTTGTTGGAACGTCCACATGGGTATCCCTTGTTTGTTTGTCACCAGGTCCTTCAGTACAGCTTGGACTTCTTTCTTTAATACCATCGGATCTTAATCATATACTTTTGTATTGTTGTATGCCGTTGAGTCGGACCCGACTCATAGTGACTCCTCCTTGGGTTTCCGAGGCAGTATCACTACTGAAGTAGATCGCCCCATCTTCCCTCCAAGGAGTGGCTGGTGAGTTTGAACCACCAGCCTTCTGATTAGCAGTCAGGTGCCTTAGGCACTAAGCTATATGTATGTGCATATGACATGATTGAATGTTGAGCAGTTCTTTTTGGTACAGTAACTCTGTGTATTCCTTCCATCTTCTTTTGATGCTTCCTGCATCGTTCAATATTTTGCCCATAAAATTCTTCAGCATTGCAATTCAAGGCTTGAGTTTTTTCTTCACTTCTTTTAACTTGAGAGATGCTGAGTATGTTCTTTTCTTTTGATTTTCTAACTCCAACATTTCTTTATAATACTTTTCTTTGTCTTCTCGAGCTGCCCTTCGAAATCTGCTGTTGAGCTCTTTTATCTTGTCATTTCTTCCATAACTTTAGCTACTCTCTGTTTAATGGCAAGTTTCAGAGTCTCTTCTGACATCCATGTTGATCTTTTCTTCCTTTTCTGTCTTTTTAATGACCTTTTCCTTTCTTCACGTATGATGTTATTGATGTCATCCCACAATTCTTATGGTCTTCGGTCATCGGTGTTCAGTGCATCAAATCTCCTCTTCAGATGGTCTCTAAATTCAGATGGGTTATAATCAAGGTCATATTTTGGCTCTCATGGACTTGTTTCTGTTGTCTTCAGCTTCAACTTGACTGTGCATATGAGCAGTTGATGGTCTGCTCCACAGTCGACCCTGGCCTTGTTGTGACTGATCATATTGAGCTTCTCCATCATCTCTTTCTTCAGATGTAGTCAGTTTGATTTCTGTGTTTCCCATCTGGTGAGATCCATATGTAGAGCTGCCATTTATGTTGTTGAAGAAAGGTATTTGCAATGAATAAGTTGTTGGTCTTGTAAAATTCTATCATGTGATCTCTGGTGTCATTTTTATTACCTAGGCTATAGCTTCCAACTACAGATGTGATGCTTCTTTGTTTCCAGCTTTTGCATTTCAGTCTTCAGTGATTATTGGTACATCTTGATTGCATATTTGGTCAGTTTCAGACTACAAAAGTTGGTAAGAATCTTTAGTTTCTTCATTGTTGGCTTTAGTGGTTGGTGTGTAAATTTGAATGATAGTACTATTAGTTTGTCTTCCTTGTAGCCATATAGATATTATCCTATTACTGACAGCATTGTACTTCAGGATAGATCTTGAAATGTTCTTTTTGATAATGAATGTGACATCCTTTCTCTTCAATTTGTCATTCCTGGCAAAGTAGACCATGTGATTGTCCACTTCAAATGGCCAGTACCAGTCCATTTCAGCTCACTAATGCCTAGGGTATCAATTTTTATGTATTTAACTTCATTTTTGACAACTTCCAGTTTTCCTAGATTCATACATTGTACATTCCATGTTCTGATTATTAATGGATGTTTGCAACTGTTTCTTCCCATTTTGAGTCATGTCCCATCAGCAAATGAAGGTCCTGAAAGCTTTTACTCCATCCACATCATTAAGATCAACTCTACTTTGAGGAGGCAGCTCTTCCCCAGTCATATTTTGAGTGCCTTCCAGCTTGAGGGCTTCATCTTCGAGCACTGCAGCAGACAGTGTTTCCCTGCTGTTCATAACGTTTTCAGTGGCCAGTCATTTCAGAAGTGGACCTGGCCACATCCTCCTTCCTGGTCTGCCTTAGTCTGGAAGCTCTGCTGAAAGCTGTCCACGGTGGGTGGCCCTGCTGGGATTGGAAATACCAGTGGCACAGCCTCCAGCCTCACAGCAGCATGGAAGCCACCACAGTGCAGTAGGACAGACAGACAGAGTGGTGGGGAATAGCATTGTAAGCATATTATTTTGAAATTGCAGAGATAAGTAGAGGGAAAAACAACAACATGTTGGTGTTTGCCTCTGGGCATCAGAACTGAGCTGCCCTTGGGAGGGCTGGTGAAGGCACCAGCCATCTCTGCTTTGTTGTGTAAGGTTCTTAAGCCTTATTTTAAAGCCTGTGCACCTATTACTTTGATAAAATTACATATTCATTGCTTGGGTTACTGCAGTGTTTTCAAGGAAAATTGCAACTTGATCTTTTGTGAGTAATTAGGTATAGAGCAGTGCTTTGAATTTATAACATTCTATTTACCCATGATCATTTTGGCAGGATGCCCAGTGATCTCCAAAGGCAGTGATGTCAACTTGAGTTCCTGCTTCGCATGCATAGGGCCCAGCAGCTGGATTGCCTGTGGTCTCTCCCGGTCTCCACTCTTGTCTCCATGCAGTTTATACCTACGTAGCAGCCAGGGGTGACCCTCAGTGTGCTCGAATCACCTTTCTGTGTAAAGGCACGGGACACCCTCCCATTGCGACCAGAATAAAGTTAAACTCATGGCTTGAAAACGGCAGCAGTGGGTAGAGCACATGCTTAGGAGGGGAATTGCGAGTCATGCACTAACTTGTTTCTGAGTTCTCGAGGCAACGCCAGACTCTCTGCCACCACAGTTGTACCAGCTTACGTTCCCACCAGCTGTTGATGAAAGGTCCAGTCTCTCCCCATCCTCGTAACAGTGGTGGTTTTCCGTTTTGTGATCTGGACCGTTTTAGCAGGGGATGGTGGTATCTTACTGGAATTTGGATTTGCGTCTCTGCTGGCTGATGATGACAGGCATCTTCCGAGTGTTTGCTGGCCCTTGAATTCCTCACTGGTGAGTGGTGAACTGGTCCTTCTGTAGGAGCCTGGCTGCTTCTCCTCACTCAGGGTGCAAGGCACAGTTTGATTCCTGAGGACGGCCCTCGCTGACACCCAGCCAGCGCACCTTGGGAGGTCTTCAGACCTGCGGCATCAGCGTCACCTGGGCCGTTGGGTTGGGAAATGCAGACTCAGGCCCTACTGAACAAACTGATTTTAATAAGATCCCACTGTAATTTCCAGCAGCACTGAGTCCATCCCCACCCCCTGACACACCCACACACACACACACTCCTCGTGAAGGGAACTTAGTCTCCTGGATCCGAGTTTATCGCTTCTCTCCCCGAATCGAGTGGAAGCTCTTTTAGGGCAGCAGCCCGTGTGGCCTGCTCATTCCCAGACCCCTGGCACCTAATGGACCCAGGCCTGCACCCAGTGGGCACTCAAATGTGATGAGTGAAAGAAGGAATGAAGGTAACAGATGATTCCGTTTCCTGAAACGGGTAACTCTGTCCTCGTTGCTCTCACCTGCTTGTAGACTTGGCCTCATTTGTACCCCACATCATTATTATACAGGGGCTCCTGTGTATTTTGGATACCGACTGCTGTTAACCTAGTGGGACTATCGAGAGTCCCCTTCTTATCCTGTGTCCAGGCAGTCTGTTCTCGGAACAAAGTTACGGTTTGACTAGGGGCTTCTCTGCTGCCGTGACTGGGGCTGGTGGTATTCTTGTTGGTACAGGCAGACCTCGTTTTAAGGCACTTTCCTTTATTGCACTTCATGGATAATACGTTTTTCACAAATCGAAGGTTTGTGGTGGCAGTGTGTCGAGCAAGTCTGGCAGCACTTTTCCAGCAGCGTGTGCTCGCTTCGCGTCATGTCTCCATCACATTTTGGTCATTTTCACAACGTTTCAAACTCCCGTCATGCTGTGGACGCTCAGTAGACTACACTCCAGCACCGACATTGACTTTCACGGGCACTGGGAGCCCAAAGAGGCACATGGCGCCCTCCGTGGCAGTGTCTCCTTCACTGCGGTGCTCTGGACCGAACCCGCGGGATCTCTGAGGTCTGCCTGCATTTAAAGTTTAAGAAACACCCTTATTCAGAGTTGCAGTGGGCTTCTAAGGGTTTTCCCAGAGTAAATGTTGGTTTGCTATTTGCATAAAGTTTTAGTCAATCAGAACTTAATAATCCTTTTTTAAGAAAATGAGATTCTAAAAAAAATGTGAAATGCAAAATTTAAAGGTACACTCCAGATAACAGTGGTGAGGCATACAGGGCGTCTCATGCACCGATTCCTTACTTTTAAGATAAACACCAAGGAGAGACCCCATTTCTGACATAGCCCTACATCGAAAGGCAGGTTTGTGCTGAATTTTATCAGGAAGCAGCTCTCCGGTCGGATTCCCTTGAATGAAGACGGGAGGGAGCAGAGCTCAAGTCTCTAGCTTTTAACCAGGGATAGTTTCGGCCCCCAGAAGCCAGTTGGCCATGTCTGAAGATATTTTTGGCTGTCACAGCTGGGGCTGGGGGTTTGCTGGTGGCATCTAGTGAGCAGAGGCCAGGGAGCTGCCACACACCCTACAGCTCCCACACACCCTGCGGCTCCGACCATAAAGAACTGCCCGGCCCAAAACGTCATTGGTGTCGCTGCTGAGAAACCCTGCCATACCTCTGCAAACACTAATGCCGTCAGAAAGAGAATCCGTTGGCCTACTTTTGGAAAAGAGATAGGAATTGACACTCAGACATTCCGGTGGGTGTCTAGGCAGTGAGATGTGTTCCTATCAGGCCCTTCTTTCCAGTCAGACGCCAAATGGAAATGCAGTGGCCCACCTGCCACTTGGGGAGCCATCACTTGTTCAACAAAGAGCGTTTCAGAAATGTGGCAACTTGGTTGATTTTAAAATTGGGTAATGTATCCTGCTAATTTCACCTTTTTAAAAACAGGGAAACGCAAATAGAGGGTTACTGGTTTTCCTTATTTTACAGATGGGGTCGAGGATTTGGTCTTTTGGGTTCCATTTTTGGAACGGATGGTGTATTAAACCAGCCAAACAGTGTCTTTGGACTTATATTTTATATACTGCAGTTATTACTTGGTAAGTATTTATACGGCACCATAAAGATAAGTTTGTTTTGCTGTATTCTATTCAGTGCTTTGTGTCTTTGCTCTAAAGTGTGTCTTTATATTAAACAAAAGCGTAAGTTAATGCTAGAACCAGGAGTTGGTAGCATACGTGTGTGTTGTGACAACTCAAGGCCCTCGGATTCTAACGGGGATGATGCAGACGGGTCTGTCGGTGTTTCCTCAGGGAGAGCAGCCTTCCAGCGGCCGGACCAACCAGGCCCTTCGGGGAGTTAAGACTCCACACAAGTCTCCCTCCAAAACTTTTCTCCTTCCTATGTTATGGACCCTGTAGCTATTTAAAAATGCTACGTATTGAGAAGCTGGGCAAGGTGAACATGAGTCATGGCCCCTCACCTGCACCGAGCTGCTGCCCGCCGCCTGGCTTCTGCTTGCCTGGGTTGGCACACTGCTCCTGTCGGTTCTCTTAAGAGCTTTGTTATTATTGACATCTGGCTTTCAGATTTTTGTGTTCCAAATATCGCTGCAGTGGACAACTTTGTTTAAAGCGCACTCACCCCCCTTTTAAATTATTTCTATAAAATAAATTTTCAGGCACAGGCTTACAGGTCAGACGACACTGATTTTTTGATGGTCTTACTGGGTTTTTGACAAACTGTTCTCTTCCCACTTGTCTGGTTTTCTAGAAGTCTCAACTACACCATGTTTTTAAAGTTCTAATTTAGTAGTTCCTGTTAGCAGCTCATTATTTTAATTTTACTGACTTTTCATGTCCTTTTTTTTGCCAGTTTAGTTATTGGGGCTCTGGCCATGGTCCATTTTCATGTCAGCAACAAACATTTTACCTGTTCTTTATCTTTTTTTAATGTCAGTTTTGTGAGTTTTTGTTGTATGAAAGTTTTATACTTTGAATTCCATCAGTCCATTTCTGCCTTTGCATCTCAGCCGTGAGCATTTGATCCCATCGCCTGCCGGCTCTTCCAGCGACCCGACTGATGAGTTAGGAGGCGAAGTTCTCCATTTCTCCCAGCAGCCCTGCAGGTCGCCCAGTTCTGTGTCTGTGTATTTGTCCTGCAGACCGGGCGGTGTCTGCACGAGGGTATCGTGGCAGTACCCTTTCAAACGGTGAACAACTGCAGGCAGCTTCAGCGGGAGGTGGTGGCTGAGTAACTTAGGTACACACGTGATGGAGCCGTTAGAAGGGACATGATTTGTTCTGTGAAATAAGCCATGACATGGCAGCTGTGTTCATACATGTGCATGTGCATACCAGTGCGTAGGAGAGCTCTGGTCGCTGCTGCAGGGGAAGGGAGAGTTTGCACTTTATTCCACACATTTCTTGTTTTGTGTGGATTTCTAACGAAAAGTAAAAAGCCCCAATATAAGGGAGTCGTTAATTTCCCCACTGAAAGAGCCAAAGATGAAGCCTTTGAATATATGCATTTTTGAAGTGCAATAGTGAAAATTGTTAACAGACTTTCAGTTTATAATACTTAGTTTGCTAATTTCTAATTATACATGCTTATCTTGAGTCACACGTGTCGTGTGTCTTTTCCCGTCTACAGTTCATGAAGCTGTCTTTGTCCCCAGACTCTTCACACGCGTTTGCAATGCCACTGTCTGTCCTTGGAGGGCCACGTGAGCTCGTCTCGGTTTTTCAGGGCATGTCATCTTCGCACTTCCGAGTGTGCAATACAGTGTTTTTAAGTTTACTTTTTCCATAGGTAGTACACAGACCTAGTTCCAGAGTTAAAAAATAGAAAAATCAGGGAAAACTCCCATCCCACCCTTGTCTCTTCCTTACCTGGTCCCACTGCCCCATATCCCTGACAGGTAGCTTTTTCTCTTTTTGGTCTTCGTGGAGTTTTTTAATGCAGAGTCAAGAAAATTCAACTGTACAGTCTTCATCTTCCTCCTGTTTTAATACATTAGGCAGACGCTACAGAAGATGCCCTGTCGCTGGCCTCTTTTTTTAAATCCCCTCTGGGTGGTCATTCATCCTTTTTCACAGCTGCAGAATATTCCATTGCATGACGGTACCACCATTTGTTTATGGAGTTTTTCAGCACATTTTAATTTCCATTGGGTACATTAATCCCAAGTCACAAGTACCCAGTTACAATACCTTAGGACAGGTTTAATAGTATTGTACTTAGCTGACAGGCAGTATTTACAAAAAAAATCACTGCTATCAAGTCGATGCCAACTCACAGTGACCCTGTAGGACAGAGCAGAACTGTCCCGTAGGGTTTCCAAGGCTGTAAATCCTTATGGAGGTAGACTGTCTCATCTTTCTCCCGTAGAGCAGCTGGTGGTTCAAACCACCAACCTATTGGTTAGCACCCGAGTGCTTTAAGCACAGTGCCCCAGAGCTCAGCCAGTGTTTACAGAGCGCTCACCAGGTGCCGGGCAGTATCCCACTTCTTCATACCTATCACCTCTTGAATCCTCACGGGAGCCTTAGGGGTGGTCATTATTCTGGTTTTACTGTTGAGGAAAAGAAAGGAAGAGAGAAATTAACCTGTCCACGTCCCTTAGAAGCTAGCTTTCTTAGCTCAAACTGCGGCAACAGCATTAAGTTTTGAAATCATAGATATTTAGCGTAGGTCAGAAGTCAGCAGACTTTTTCTGTAAAAGGTCAGATAGTGAAGAGCATAGGGTTTGTGAGCTGTGGCCGCTATTCAGCTCTGCCCCTGTGCGAGAGCAGCCACAGACAGTACAGAAGACAATGAAGGTGGCTACATTCCAATAAAACTTTATTTATAAAAGCAGGTGGTGGGCCAGATTTGCCCATCCCTAGCATAAGTAACCAACCGCGTTCTGGCCTGGAAGAGCTCGTTTCAGGCCAAGACCCACTGCCGTCGAGTGGGTTCCATGTCATGGCTACTAAGGCATTGTCTTCTAGTACTGGCTGCTCATAGAGGTGAGCCAGGCCCCTGTGACTGCGCCCCCGCCCACTGACAGCTTCTCATCACCTTTGTTCCCAGCAGGCACCTGGATTTCAGCCCCTTAATTAACCTGTTTAAATCTGCTACCACCTGTTACCTTTGGCTGGTTCCTCTCAGCCTCTGTTAGCTGTTGGGCAGAGGCAGTGTAGCAGCTCTGCCTTCTCCTCCAGTCTTAGAATAAATGCACATGTTCTCAGCACCGTGGTGTGTGAAGGCGCCTGAGGAACTCGAGGGTTCCAGCACGTTTTTTGACTTGAACGCCCTCTGGCTTAGCACGCACGGTTGCATTTTCTTCTAGATCTAGTTTGACTCCAGTGTGGTGAAACGCACTCACTCACATGTTCTGCAACGATTATCCCCTTTTTCTTCCTTCAGCACCACGTCGGTGTGGTGGTCTCCCCTCACAGAGTTTTGAGGTGCCCTGGTGGTACGGAGGTTAAGCACCCAGCTGACCACCCAGATGGTGGTGGTTTGGACTCCCCCGCTAGCTCCACAGGAGAAAGAGCTGGTGAACTGCTCCTCCGAGATCAAAGCCTAGAAGACCCCGGAGGCTGCTCCGCTCTGTGCCCCGGGCTCGCTGTGGGTTGAAGGTGCTCAACGGCAGACAACAATAATAGGGGGTTTTGACATAAAACAAATTTACTCTCCACAACTGGGGGCCTGCCGAGAAGAGGCCAGTGGAGGGAGGACTCACCCAGTGTCCCCACCTTGGCAGAGAAGGCTGTGGTCCCCTCGTTACTCTTCTCATTAGGAGAGTCGGGGCTGTTGATTTCCAAAATTGGCTTCACTGCATAATGTGATCTCAAGACGGCATGTTTGCTTTGTACGCGTATCCCTGGCCGAAGCTAGGTATGAGATAAGTTCCCCTGGAACACTGACGGAGTGAGAAATTATAGCTATAACATGGGTCTCCTACCCAGAGTCAGTCTAACAGCAGTCATGGTGTCTTGACTTCGTGAGTTCTGCAGTGGGGTCAGCAGGACTCCAGTGCTGCCTGTTAGCTTTGAACTCTGGCACCTTCTCCTGTGCCCAGGCTGGCTGAGCCACGTGTCCCCTTGTCTTGCAGGCCTGACAGCGAGCGCGGTGGCAGCGCTGATCCTCATGACGTCGTCCATCGTGTCTGTCGTGGGGTCTCTGTACCTGGCGTACATTCTGTACTTTGTGCTCAAGGAGTTCTGCCTCATCTGCGTCATCACGTACGTGCTGAACTTCACTCTCCTCATTGTCAACTACAAACGACTAGTTTACTTGAATGAGGCCTGGAAGCGGCAGCTGCAGCCCAAGCAGGACTGACGCCCGATGGACTCCCGGCTGACGGCCTCAAGCCCTTTTTCCATTAAGTTTATTTCCCAGCAGGGTTTTGTTTTGTTTTTATTCTTCACAACAGACACTCTCCCCAAGAATCTTAAACTGATTTTTTAAAATCCTGTAAATTAGAAGGGGCTCTAGCTATTTTCTGTGTCAATCTTCAGTTTAAATATGGATACAAAAAAAGGATACATCGAGCCAATCAAAGACAAGCTTTAACTTTACTTTGAAGATGTTTCTGAGAAACTAAAATGTCGCCCTAGCACCTGCCCCCAGTTGTAAAGTGAGCAACCATTGCTAGTAATTCTCTAATGTGTATCAAGTCAATTTCAGGTTTAACAAATGTGATCATGACATGAAACTATTTTAGAATAGATACTGTATTAAATATTGCCATGTTTACAATATGTAATATGTTTTTAGCCAATGGATTTAAACATGTAGATTCAACTAGAATCCATTTATGTGATATTTGTAAATAAAGGTAGAAATATTGGATTCCCCCACCCCACCCCTGCAGAAATCACTGTCCCAGGTTAGGTAAGGCATAGCCATGGAGACCAGTCAGCTCAGTGCTGACCAGAGAACCGGGGACGAGAGGACGCCCTTCCAGGCGGCACCTCAGGAAGCGTACTGGCAGCTGTGGGTGCAGCAGCGACTGCAGAGTACGAGGGTGGCTGGTCCCCTTTCACCTCCCCACTCTTGGAGGGAGAAACAACATTTGGGCGTTTGAGTCAAGCTGGTGTCTAGTCACAAAACTGGACCAGTTGTAACCCTACAGAATAACCAGACTTCCAGTTCATGGCCTTGGAGACACTAATGAAGAAAATGGGGAGATGTCTTGAGGAAAGCTGGAGAGAGGAGGGTGGTGTTTTTAGGTCTGGTCTCCCACAACAGTTGGTGTCTCATGCGGGTTATTTTTCCTTGCTGTTGGTGCCAGTCAGCCAACCAAGCAGTATTACGACCTTGATGTGTCCCGGATACGCCAAGGCGCTATCGTTGGTAGATCCGGATTTCCCCATGCTGTTTCATCCCGCACTGGCTAATCATCCAGTTGGACTGGTGTGGAGTCCTGTTCCAGATCTGCAAGCGTCAGGGCTGGCGTGCTGCTCAGTGCAGCCAGGAGAAGCCCAACAGGCAGAACAGAGCCCGCTCCAGCACCGCTCGCGGGAACTCCGCCAGTGCAGGAGGAACGATCCTAACGTAGCCCAAAGCAACCCAGATGGCGTTGTGACGGTGTTTCTGTGGAACACCTTCTAGCAGATGTTCAAAGTGCCTTCTGTCTTCAATTCTCAAACCAAATACTTTGTGTGTTGAACTTGGGCAAAAGAGCCTGCCCTCCCTCCTCCTTCCTTCTCTTCTCAACACGAAGCAGAAAACGCGCGTTCTGTAGGAAAGCTGCCGTCGGATCCTTTGGCTCTCGGTGGAGAAGCGGGAGCAGTGTTTTAGCTTCCAGTTTGATTAGTCACTATGTTAGAGAGTCGGTTAGACTGGGACCTTTTGAGTGCTTTATTTGCCTTTCGAAGGGAGGAAACAGGCTCTGTAAACTTAAATGTGTCGCATCAGTAACTCGACCGACCATTGAGTCAGTCATTTTCCAACCTGCGCGGTTGACACTGGGCAGTCTCCTGGCCCAAGGCAGGTGTAAAATCCGAATTGTAATGAACTTGAACGTTTTCTTCCAAGCTGGCCAACTAGACCCAGCAAGGCCTCCGTTTTCCCAGGATGGATGTTTGGTGCCTGTCCTGTGACGCCTGTGCTGCTGTGCTGTCACCGAGACGAGGCCTCGGCGAGCATCGACTGACGCCTGGGCATGTGGAGACATGGTCTCGATGCGAAGAGCTGTGCAGGGTCACCCGGGCCCACCTGGTTCTTTTCCACACTCGGGCGGAAGTAGCTGAACGGTTAAGGTGGCGGTGGCTGTGGCGCCTGCGACATCAGTGGGCAGCACTAACCAACTTCCTCACATCCCAGTTCCTAATGATTTTTTATCCTATTTGGCATCAGTCAGCAAAGTGCAGTTAAAGCTTGTCTTGCTATTGCAGTCTCCAAAGGTCTTCAGCTTTGACTTGAGAAAACATGACACTGTTCACCAGGCCCTGCACATTGTTCATTTGCTTTCCTAAGCCTTGGGGAAAACAGCCCTGTTGGAGTTGTATAAAGTTGTTTCTGCCACGCCCCTGTAACCCTGTAGAATTCACATTCTTTTTTCTCACTGAGTGATGAACACCCTGAAATCCCAGCATGTAACCCCGTATCTCAGGAGGCAGCAGAACCCCATGGGTGCTAAGTTATTTGGTACTTTTGGGCCTGGGAGATGTTCAGGCTCCCTTCCACACCCTCCATTCCACCCCAGTGAAGGGTGGGGAGGGGAAAACACCATGGCAGAAAATTTGAGGGTCTCGGAAGACAGTTTGAAGATTGAAACACTGTAACATTATTAGCCACAGTCCTATAGGGTTAGGGGACTTGTTCTTGGCAGTCATGCCATGCTTCTTTGGCATTTCTGAAGTGATTCCCAACAAAGGAAGCCTCCCTCGTACCTGAGTCTTGAATGTCATTAGAGGAACCCAAGGCTGTGGGTCAGTGATCAGTGGTGGGGGGCCTCAGTGGGCTGCAGGGTTCCATCCGGTCTCATTGCAACTAGGGCTGTTTCTGAGAGTCAGCTTCTTGGGGATGGAACTAAGGTTTAACTAGTTGTGTGCCAGGAACTACACTCTTAACTCAGATTATCTCCTTCAGCCCATTCCTTTGAAACATTGTTTAAAGCATCAACTATTTTCATACAAAGAGACAAAAAAATTGCCATTTGCTGTTAAGTAGGACACAGGACCAAGAGTACAGTGAAATTAAAACTCTGTTGGCTTCCATTTACTTGGTTTTCATTTATGTTCATTTTTAAAAGACCCTCAGCAAAAGCAGGACAGTGTCGTCAGCAGTGACTCCATAACCTAGATTGGTCCCTCCCACTGCTTGACATCAGAATCCTGACAGGAAATGTCGCCTTGAACATCAGCATTAGACATGCCAACAAAGAAACCCACTGTGAGCTGAGGGAGCCTGAACTAAGCAATATTTGTCTCAGGCATTTGGTACAAACATGCAAGCGTGGGAGACATGTTGATGTAGGCTTTGAAGCAGCACTCATGGTTCCCAACTTGTGGGCGACACCCTTCAGTAAAACAAGGGGTGCGATGGGGCTCCAGGCTACTCCAGGTTAAACCCTTTTAGACAGATTGGCCCAGAAACGGTGAAATGTTTCTTTACTGTAAAACTGTACCATTTAGTGTGGCCTGACTACGAAGTGTGTGATCTGTTCCAGCAGAAATATTTACTACTCGTGTGTGAAGCTCCCAAAGGCAGCGCTGATGGAAAGTGGAGCTCACTTGGGCAGATGCCCTCCCATGTACACAGAAACCTTCATCGGAGATTCAGGCGTTTGGCTAACTGGTCAATAAAAACCAATGTAAATATGTAAGAACGTTTCTTTGTTGCACCTAACTTTGTTGGTATAAAATGAATGTAGACACTACTTGTGGAAACGGTGCCGGCATCCTTCTCACATCACAGGGTTGCATTTCAAAAACGTGGACGTGAACCCTGACTTTCCAGGCTCAAGATGGTACCGAAGCCTCACTTCTACAGGTAAGCTGAGTTGATGACGCTTCTCTCAGATGATGTGTCAACTTACGTTTTTAGAGATTCTAGTTCTTGGAATTATGGGTTTATGATGAATGTGGTTGTCAAGAATTAATGACAAAGTGTTGTTGCCTACAGTTATGCAAACACATAAAACCCAAAACCCAGTGCTATCAAATCAATTTCAGCTCACAGTGCACCTAGAGGACAGAGTAACTGCCCCATAGAGTTTCCAAGGTTGTCAGTCCTTATGAAAGCCAACTGCCACATCTTTCTCACTCAGAGCGGCTGGTGGATTCAAGCCACTGACGTTTCAGGTAGCAAGTGAGCTCTTAACCCACTGCGCCACCATCAGCTGCTGTCAATTCATAGCTTTACTTTAGCTCAGCTTCAACACTTCACTGCTGTCAGAGTCCTCAAACAAGGAAGCATCTGGAAGGAAAATGAGCCCATTTCAAAGACACCTTTGCCACCCCTTTCCATCCATACCTGACCATCTGCGTCTTGCTGTCCACACCTTACACCCAACTGCACCTTACTGTTGAACCTCAGGACTGAGAGATGGGCCTCTCCTCTGATTTCTCGCACATCCGGGTACACCTGCTGTTTAGACTGCTTATTAACTAAAGAGTCTTACACATTGTTCTTTGACATTGAACTAGAATGCCAAACTTGATTCCTTCAAGGGATTTAAGAGGTCAGTGGTTGACACAAGAAATAGGAATTCCTAAAATTTTACCTCCTCTGAGACAGCTGCCTCTTTTAAAAACACTTTGATGCCTAGCGAAGTGTGACTACAGCTTTACCCTGAGAGCACAGAATGGCGTGCCTGTTGAGACGTGTGCCACCACCCACAGGAGCCATCACCCACGAATGTGGCTGGAGACAAAAAGGGTGTTCCCAATGCATGGAGCTTTCAGCCAGGCTCAGTAAATGCTGAAACCTTAGCAGCTGTGCCCTGCCCTTGTTTTCATGGAGCCTATACCAAACTCACTGCCTTCAAGTCGATTTGACTCATAGCGACCCCTCCGTGGGTTTCCAAGACAATATCATTACGGAAGTAGATTGCCCAGCCTTCCTTCCGAGGAGTGGCTGGTGGGTTTGAACCGCCAGCCTTCCGGTTAGCAGTCAAGGGCCTTAGGCACTGCACCACCAGAGCTCTCCATGGAGCCTACAGAGGGGAAGGAGCTCTGGTGGTGCAGTGGCTAAGGAATCTGACTGCTAACCGGAAGGTCAGCAGTTCAAACCCACCAGCCATTCCTCGGAAGGAAGATGATGTAATCTACTTCTGTAAAGATTTACAGCCTTGGAAACCCAAGGGAGGTTCACTATGAGTCAGAATCCACTGGACAGCACTGCGTTTGTTTTTTCATAGAAGAGGGGAGAAATGCCTCCTTGAGGAAAGGCCTCCCTCTGGAGAAGAGGCTGGAGCCAGTCGAGGTGAAAGGCATGGAGCCCTTGTTTACAGCGTCAGCCACAGGAGACGGGTCGTGTTCAGTGGTGTCGGCTTTGACAGACCCAACAGGCTGTACACACATCTGTCCGTCCCATCAAGCTGAGACATCAGTCAGAACAGGACTGGCTCCAGCTGAGACAGTCCACCACTTTGACCTTACGGTTATCATCTTAACTGTGAACATAAACACCCAACCAGTGCAGTCATTTCTACTTCAACTCACGACAACCCCATGTGTCAGCAGAACTGGGCTCCACAGGGTTTTCAATGGCTGATTTTTCAAGAGCCCATCAGGCTTTTCTTCCAAAGCCCCTCAGGGTAGATTAGATCCATCAACCTCTCGGTTGTGAACTAGGCACCCTCCCGCGTACACCTGTTGTTGCCAGTTGCCATCAAATGGATTGCAACTCGTGGCGACTCCATGGGTGTGGACTCATTCGTCACTCCAACCATCCCTGTCAGTCAGTCTGTTGGAGTTTCCTGGAGGCTGTGAGAGTTTGGCTGTCACTTGCTTGAGCTGGCCTGTGACAGCACAAGTGTAACCAGCGACTCTGAGCGAGCTGTGGGCCCCCGAGGCAGTGCCTTGCAACAGCATAGCTGGGCTGGGAGACAGCCCGAGACACAAAAACAATCCCAGGTTCCTTCCGGCAGCACCGTATCACGCAGATTGTCCAATGTGGGGGGTGGTCACGTTTAAACCAACGCTTCACGCTAGAAAAGTTTTTATTTTCACTCTCACTTTCCCTTCTAGCCACGACCACACACCCCCAGACCCAGAAGTGCCCGGTGCCCGCCGGTGCATGTCTGGGAGGCACGGCTCCGGGTGAGTCGGGGGAGAGGGCTCTGACAGGTGGCGCCCGCGGGCCGGGCCACACAGAGTTCTTGCCTCACAGAACAAACAGGCTGTTTTCCAGACACTGTGGCTTCAGATGCGTGGATTCGTTGGCGATTTTCCAGTATCTGTCTCGCAAAACAAACGCTGCACTTTTCGGTTGTCTCTGGCGAGTGAAAATCCCTTTCCTGTTGCCCACTGCTCTCGACGGTGCTGAAAACAAAAGGAAGACGTTTCAGGTGACTTCTGATGGTGCAGGTGGGCGCTATGCTGGGTACGACAGTGAAATGCTTGTGAACGGGAGGGTGGAGGTCTGAGGGGTATCTCAAGGGACAACTTGGGGGCCCCCAAGCATCACAGCTCCCTGACCTGTTAATATCCTGTTAGGGGAAGAAGTCCGAAATCGTTTCTCTTTTACTTCCAAACTAAAGTCGGCAACATTACGGTGCCCCGTCAGGCCACCAGAAGGGACCTGGGACAAAGCTGCCCTCGAAAAGGCTCAGGCCTCTCTCTCTCTCACACCTTGTGGTGGCGGTCAGCCGCTGCTGAGTCAGTTCTGACTCACGGCCACCCTACGTGTGCAGGATGGAACTGCTCCCAGTGTTTTCAAGGCTGGGACCTCTCAGATGGCCAGGACTGTCTTCTGGGGTGCTGCCGGTGGGTTCAAACTGCCCACCTGTGGGCTAGGGGTTGAGTGCTTGACCATCTGCGCCACCAGGGACTCCAGACTCAGGCTTTTCTGAAGAGACACCTGTGGTCAGTCAGAGGTGCCCAAGTGGAATCTACTGGTGGACTTCTGAGTCCTCACCGGCAGACTTCCGGCTGGGCTCCCACCACTGGGGGCGTGGCCAGAACTCAGCGGAGGGAGCAGAGCTGGCCGCGGCCTTCAGGGCTGCGCTCCCAACACACCTGCTTCACCTCCCCGTGAGCTCAACGGCTCTGCTGAAGGTCAAGGTGATCCTTCCCACGGAAAGCCTCAAGATGGTAATTTCTTCCACGATAAGTAGATGCCAGGCATTGTCCCTGCCCTGGATGGAATCCTTCAACCTGCAAGCCGGTGGCCTTAGCCTACCACCAGGTTAGGGGATCCAGGTCACACAGCGGACCTCACGACACAAAGCCAGGCACACTTACCACGAAACCAGACCACCACCCAGCACGTCCCAGGCCCGTGAGCCTGACTCGCTCCGCTCAGCAGAGCTGTGTTCTCATCCTGCTCCTTGCTCTCTTCCTGCCTCACCTTCACGACTTCCTCTATCCGCTCTCCACCCTCATTGCCAGTTACGCTCTCAGCTCTCAAAGACCTGTCTTCCCTAGCTCCCCAACCGCTCACTTGACCTTCATGGAGACCCAGAGGTATGCAAAGAAGGGAGGCGTACACTTAAAACGGAACCGAAGAAGCCTTTAGCTGCTCTCGTGTGATGAGAGAACGGAGCTTAGTGCCTCTGAAGACTTGAACGTGCTCACGCTCAGAGCACTTTAAAACGAGCCTGTTTGGGTAGCGTGCCTTTTACAAATGAAAAACAAAACAGACCGGAATCTCCAGTTTCTTCAGGTTTTGCAGCTATTCTATATTCTGACCCCACTTCATGAACTATTTCTTCAGATTCAATCCTCAACTTCTACCCAACTGTTATACCCCTAATGGGAGAGTCACTACTGAATTTGGTGCAATGGTTACATTCCACATTATTAACATTTGTGGAATAATGAGTGAGTCCCAACAGGGAATACTTAGATACACAGCGGCCATCGAGTCGGTGCAGACTCTGGCGACCCCATGTGTTCTGGAGCGGAACTGTGTTCATGGAGTTTCCAATCGCTTTCATCTTCCTGAAGTTATCACCAGGCCCTTCCTCAAGGTGCCTGAGCGGATGTGAACCCCTGGCCTTTGAGTAACTAGCTGAGCACTGAACTGTCTGCGCCACCCAGAGATTCCTGTGTTCTCCTCATACTGCTGAGAAAGAGACACAGACACAGTAGCCATTTTTGCCTCAAGATAGAAGACACTCCTGTTTGCCGTGTTTTTACCATAAAACGATGTGGGAAACTTGCGAGTGGTGGCCCTGCAGCTGGGAAAGCTTAGCTCACTTTCCCTGGGAGATTCTGCGCGGCCTCCACCAACTGGACCAGCTGTCCCCTTGGGTAACCAGTGTTCCTACCACCAAAGGCCCTGGATGGCAAGGCCAACCTGGAGAAGTCAGCCACGGTCCTTCCCACAAACCAAAGTGCACTTACACTGGTCGGTCATGAAGTCAGCGAAGTTCCAGATGAGCTCGCCAACCACGTACTGTCTGCGCTTCTGGTCTAGAACCAGGTGGTACTGCTCCAGCAGTCTCCTCTGGTACTCCTCCGTGAACATGACGGGCGGGTCCTGGGATTCAAGGCAGAGAGAGAGCTGAAAGGCAGAACCCACGGAGCCATGACCGTGCGATGAAACTAACGCTCCACGTGGCGATGTCCATCTGTCCTCACAGTGGAGCACAGCTAGGGTGTGACTGCACTCGAGCAGCTCAGAATAGAGATGTCTTCATTTACTGCCTTATCTATGAACAAGGCATCTGCAGTGCTGTGGTCAGAGCACTGGGCTGCAAACCAAAAGGTCAGTGGTTCGAACCCACCAGCCGCTCTGTGGGAAAAACACGAGGCAGTCTGCTTATGTCAAAATTTCCAGCCTTGGAAACCCTGTGGAGCTATTCTACTCTGTCCCATGGTGTCACTCAGTCAGAATCAACTCAATGGCATCTCACAGCATGACAGGCATTGACAGTCTGGCAAGGAAGACATCCGTCATCACCATGATGGCAGTGAACAGGGCCAGTGCAAGGAGCTCAGGTTTGTTGTTCATTTCTATCGAGACAGCTCTGACCCATGGACCTGACGTGTAACAGACTCAAATGTTCTCTCCTGGAGCCCGTGCTCTGTATGGTCAAGAAGCGAACCACGAAGTAACTACGGTGCTCGGTGAGAACGTCTGAGACAGATCGGTGGAGCTGCTGCAGCGGCCGAGTGGCCCGCTCTGCCACGGGCAGGAGGCGTCGGCGTCCTCCCCAGAGCAGGTGCTGAGGATCAGACTTATCACTGAACGGGGATCTGCTGGCTGGTGATCATGGCCTCGACATGGGACATCCGGGGACGAGGAGCCCAAGCAAGGGAACACCCTGGAAACAGGCCAGTCCTGGGCGTGACACCAGGGAGAGGTCAGAGGTCAGACGCCATGACTGCTGGCTCGGGGACACCACTGGTGGGGCTCCCAAGGGTTGGGTTTAAGCCACTGGTGGGAAGCTGTTGGGAAACCTGGGGACGCTGCCTCTGAGGCCTGAGTCCATGAGACAGAGGCTGGCAGGTTGAGAGGTACAACATGGCGGCCAAGCAAGTGACAGGCAGGCAGGAAGCACATTTCTCGCTTGGGCAGCAGAGGGACAGACATCACGTACAGACTCAGGGAGGGAGTGAGCGAGACGCTGCCCCACCCACCTGGTGAAAGCCTGGGATTGTTTCTGCCCCATACTCGCTCTGAATGATGGGCTTCTGGTAGGCGCCGTACCAGTCCTCGAACTGGGTGGCCAGCTGCAGTGGGATCACTTCCAAGTGCCCGGGGTCGTGATACCAGGAGTAATAACTGTTCACGCAGATCACATCCACGTACGGAGCCTAGGGGAGGGAGAGGGCCGCTTGGACGGGGGACGGTACCACAGACACAGCGCTGCGACAGAGAAGGGAACCAGGAAACCCTCCGTCCCGCAGTCATCCCGCCCCCACACAGAAACGCATCAAGGAGCAGTATCAGCGGAGCAGGGCCACGATCCTGGGCTGAGGCCCTGGCAGGCTGCCCACGGCGGGCAGCACACAGCCCGAGCCCAGGGTCCTGTCACCACTGGACTGTGCTCCTGTCTGGGTTGCGTCTCCCCCCACCTGGACGGGGGAGATGTTCTGAACAGTGGGGTGAATGCCGATTGTCTCCACACACCGTGCTGGGCGTGAGCTAGTGCTGCAGGCCCTACAGTGACCCGAGGGTCTCACCCAGGTGGGAGCAGGGATGTGGGCCAGGCGGCCTCGAGGCTCAACAAGGTGGCGCGCGACTGAGCCGCAGAGGCTCTGTGTCCACTTGTCTAGTCTCTAATGTCTCCAGCTCCTAATAAAAACATCGTCAATACCTGCACTTGGACTGACATGGTCTTGCCCCAGTGACCAAAAACCTCTGCAAGCATGGTGGTGGTCAAAGGCAAGGGTAAGAAACAGCTGAGGGTTCTTTGGGTGGACATATCGGAGATGGACCATCAACTCAACCAGATGCACCTGTATCTTCCCAGGAGGCCAGATCAGGTGCGTCCCAAAGGCACCCTTGCCACAGGGAAGGCTGTGCAGTAAGGAGGGCCTCAGGCTCTGACAGGTGTAAGGCCACCTGGTCCACCTTGGTACATGATGCACTCTTTAAAGGGAAGTAGTTCCACTCTGTGACAGACCTGACTCCATGTCAATGGGTTTGGTTCTGGGGAAACGCCAGGGCACATCAAGGCCAGTCAGCCTTTCTCTGTGCACAGAAAATGGCTGTGTGCAGCCTGCAACTGTCTTCTCACCCCGCGGCCTGGAGCGTGTCCTCCAAGCGCCTCCCTGTCTTCCTCCAGCATTTCCATCTTTCTAGCGATGGACCATTTTCCTGTTTGACAGGTTCAGGGCCATTCAACATAGAGCTGCCAGGGCTGTGTGTCCACGTCAGCGAGCCCAGGATTCATGAGGCTGGATGTGGCGTCCAGAGATGAGGGGGCCGTGAGGGGAAGAGAGAAGGGCTGGGCTGGAGCTGGTTCTGCCACCGGCCAGCCGTGTGCACCGGTCACTGGACTCTCAATCTGCAGGGCTGGGTCTGGTCTGGTCTGGGGTCCCCAAAGCTGCTGGGCCATTAGAATCCCTGTGGAGCTTTCCCCACTGTTTCGGATTGAGCTGTTTCCCCCAAATATGTGTGGGAATCCTAACCCCTTTACCTGTTTTTTTATCATGATTTGGGTGAAAGTTTATAGAGCAAACTGATTCTCCACATAGCAGTTCATACACATTGTATTTCATGGCATTGAGTGCAATCCCAACAATGTAACATCGTTCTCCCACAGAGTAGCTGATGGGTTCCAACCACCAACCTTTTGGTTAACAGCCTAGGGCCTTAACCACTGCACCACCAGAGCGCCTAAGACACTAAGATACCCACCCTGAACTTATTAAATCAGAATCTCTGAATCCAAAGATCTGAACTTCCAAAAAGTTCCCTCAGTGGCCCTGATGATCAGCCAGGTTTAAACCGGAAACTGCACTGGTGACAATTCAGCCCCCTTCACCTCTGACACCTGATGAGCGTATTAAATCGAGGACAATGAGATGATGAGTTCAAAGTGAGGACTAAGGAACTCTCCCTAGGCCCAACCTCTTTTAACTTAGGAGCCACACCACATAGTGTATACATAGGTAACTAGCGTCAACCAAAAGACTGTTGGTGAAAATGGCTGCACGCTGTTCATGGTTCTTTCTAGGCAGGTCATTTTAGCAAGTGTTAGGACAGGGCTGGGGGACAGGCAAGTGAGGAGAGGAGAAGCATGGAGACCCCAGGCTTACCCCCAGGTCGCTGGCATAGTTGGCATTGGTCACAAAGGTCACGGGCCGGGAGGGATCCAAGGCCTTGGTGTGGGCAATCAGCGTCCTGTCCACAGAGGGTGGAAAACATGGGACACAAGGTCCGTGGGTCAGGGAAGGCCACTTAGACCCCCATGTCCCATTATCTCTCTTCCATCCTCCCCAGCCAAGACCAAGACCAACGCCCACGCCTGAACACTGCTCACCTCCCTCCCTGGACACGGGGGCTAAAACAAGCCTGCTCCTCTATTCCCAGATCACAGCCCCTCTCCCTCACTGAAGCCCAGCCGACCAGAGGAGGGCAAGCAGGGTGTGTGAGCTGAGGTGCACGGGCTGGACGCTGACATAAACTAGGTTCTGGGTCCCTCCAAAAGCTCTTGAAAATAGGAAGGACGGGGTATGCATCAGGATGGAAGGTTTATTAATCTAATGATAATTAGGGAGTACCGGCTGAGACCAACTAGGAAGGAAAACTTGGCCATCTACTTCCACAGACCAGCCGATGAAAGCCCTACGGATCCCGACAGAGCGCTGGGTGGCGGTCAGAGTACAGTGGCCACAAGAATGGACTCGTGCACACCAGCAACCCTGGCAGTGGCGTCCTACCAGCAACCCTGACAGTGGCATCCTACACGGCATCACCGTGAGTCAGAAGTGACTCGACGGCCACTAGCAACCACCTGCCATGAGCCAGGCACTGGGTCCAATAGTGACTTAAACACGTGAGTCCACAACTTCACAGCATAGTGGTACCAGATAAACATGCAGGTAAACGTTACCAACCCAAACAACAAAGTGCAGCGGGAATTACAGAGGGGAAGCACAGGGCTCAGACACGACGGGAATTACTCTGATTGGAAAGTCAGTGACGGCCATGCGTGTACGCTGAGACAAGGACAGGTTGAGGTAACCAGGGAGACGAGGTTTTCCAATGGGCCAGTCCGTGCCAGGCTGTGTCCCGGTCGGCTGGGGTCCTCTGTGGCACAGGGGCTAATTTTCCTGACACCCTCTCCCCACCTACACCCTTCTGGACTCTGCAGGACAGACCACTCTCCCTTCCCCTCAGGTTCCAAGGCCACACACTGAAACGACGCACAGCCTGGGTCTCTGCTGGGAAGCTCCAAGGCCCTGTTGACGTGGAGCTGGCCCACCGCCTACAGGGTGCTAGCATTCTCCCCACCCCCCGCACTCTGCTGTCTCTGCCCCTACATGCCCGTCTCTGCACCTCACCATCCAGACCGCGGGGAAGGCCCCTGAGGCACTCTGCATGAACCTGAAACCCCAGCCTTTCCCGTAGAAGCCAAGCATAAGCCCCAGGGGCTCCTGTTAACTGTGGGTTTCACTACAGGTGGGAAGCAGAGACACGGGGTTGCAAACGCTAATTTGGGTGGGGCAAGATGTGAACCCTAACTCTCCAGGTCTGGTTGCACCTTCAAGCCTGGGCTGGGAGGGGGTACCAGTTGTCACACAGCCCACGCCACCCCACAGCCGACCTCAGCGCTGCCGTGGCCATCAGCCAGGCCAAGCCACCCAAAGGGGCAGACAGGGGCAACTCACTTGAAGTAGTAACCAGCGGGCTTGAGGAAGGAAGTGGGCTCGTTGGCCACAGACCACATCACAACGGCTGGGTGGTTCTTGTCCCTGCGAACCAGCTCCTCCATCACCTCCAGGTGGTGGTGCAAAGACGCATTGCCGTAGCTCTCACTGTGGAGCAGGACGGGGAGGAAGCGCGCGTCACCGCCCGCCGGGCGGGGCCGGCCGAGCGGCAGGGGGTGGCGGGCACTCACGGCAGCACAATGCCCACCCCGGGGCTCTCGTCGATGACCACGATGCCATAGCGGTCACACAGCTGCATCACCTCCTCCGCGTAGGGGTAGTGGCTGGTGCGGAAGGCGTTGGCGCCCAGCCAGCGCAGCAGGTTGAAGTCTTTCGCCAGCAGTGACCAGTCAAAGCCCTTCCCTCGGATCTGGAGGCAGTGGGAGAGGAAACGGCCCCGCTGGTCTGGCAGAGTTGGGGCGGAGGCATGGGACGCCCGTCCTCCTAGAGCCGGGACTGGAGAATGGCCCCAACAGCCCCCCTTCCAGCTCACGCCCCAGCAAGGAGAGGCCCTCACAGGGAGAGTGAAGGGGGTGATGACCAGGTCCCCGTGGGCCCCACACTCACGTCGGCATCCTCGTGCTTGTTGACCCCATGGAAATAGAAGGGCTTCCCGTTGATGAGAAACTGGCTCTCCGTAACAGCCACAGTGCGAATCCCCACAGGCAGGGTGTACACGTCAGGCACAGGACCAGCTGCAGTCTGTGCCGTCAGCCGCACCTACGAGCCGGAGGGTCTGGTGTCAGACTGCTCTCCAGCAGGAAGGGCCCTCGTCGAGCCCAGCAGCCCTGCTCCGGGGCTGCAGGCAAACACGCAGAAAGCAGAGGCCTCAGCCACTGGCAACGGGGAGCCCCTTGCCTCTCTCGGCCCCCACCTCTGGGATCTGCTCTTCAGAACTGGGGCCTCCCAACCACGTGCTGGAAAAACTCAGACCACGAACGCTGAAGCATCTAATCGTGTGTACAAACAACCAAAATGTCTATCAACAGATGAACAAACAAGATAGGGCCTATCCGTGTCACAGACTAACAGAAACAGAACTGTCATGCATGCCACCACATGGGTGAACCCTGAAAACGTCACGCGGACCGAAATGAGTCGGCTGCAAAAGAACAAACGTTGGATGCTGCTGCTTCTGTGAGGTAAGCCAGTATTTACAGAAACCAAAAAATGAAGGGTGACCAGGGATGGGCATGGGCTTTGCTCGGTGGTTCCGTTCATGGTGGGCAGTTCTGTTCCTGGTGGTGGGATGACTTGGAAAAGGATGGGGTATGACTGCACAAGCTGAAGAATGTCATTGTCACCAACTACACAGGTAGAAACTGTGGAACTGGTGAATGTTCTGTGTATACTTTCACCATGATTATGAAAAAATTATAAAATTATTAAAAAAAAAAAACAAAACTACTTGTTTGTGAAGATTAGAGGGCCCGCTGCCCACCGTCTGGAGCCTGGTGTTGAACCCAAGGCAGGAGGAGAGGGCAGATGGCCCTTTTCAGCCGGAACCCGGCCGGTGCTGACAGCATTACCTCCAGCGAGTACAGGTAGGCAGGGTAGCTGTGCATCAGGTATGGCCACCAGAGGTGGGCACGGGGCACCTGCAGCTGGCCCTGGGCTCCTGTGCCCTCAGCCACCTGTTGGCCTTCTGCATCCAGAAGGCGCACTTTGAGGTCGAAGCGTTGGCTGCCCTGGACAGATATCTGGTAATTCACGAGGCCTGCAAGAGACAGAAATCAGGGCTGAGGGAGGCCCTGGGCCTGGGCCTCACAGAAAGGGTGCACCCTCCACCACGTGGAGTGCCTGTGGGAGCTCCATCAGTCAGCAGTGGGGGTGGGCATTCAGTCAGGGCGGCACAATGGGGAAGGGACCTGGGGTTCTCGGCCTGAGATATGTGATTGTGGGCAAGACCCCACTTGTTGAACCTCAGTTACCATCAGCAGTGAGGTCAGACTGTTGTTATGTGCCGTTGAGTCGAAGCCAACTCATAGCGACCCCTCCTTGGATTTCCGAGGCAGTATCACTACGGACGTAGGTTGCCCAACCTTCCTTCCGAGGAGTGGCTAGTGGGTTTGAACCGACAGCCTTCTGGTTAGCAGTCAAGTGCCTTAGGCACTATGCTCCCAGAGCTCATAATATATATGTTGTTGTTGTTGTTACGTGCTGTCGAGTCGGACCCGACTCACAGTGACCCCTCCTTGGGTTTCCAAGACAGTATCACTACAGTAGTAGATTGCCCAACCTTCCTTCCAAGGAGTGGCTGGTGGGTTTGA